GATAGTCGTCTTTAGGGTTCAAACGAAGAGACAGTTCGAGACTGTAAAATTACTTTTTATTATTGTTTCAGATATTTGAATAATAAAAAATGTTTCTTTGTGAATCTTTTATCTTCTCAAGTTGGTGATACAATGCGAAATAAAAAAGCATATTTTATTACTACTTCAGATCCATGTTCGTTTAGTGAGGTTCTTAACAAGAGGCATTGTCTTATTCTTCACGAGAAGGTATTTATTTTCGTCATCTTTTATTATTCAAATGTCTGAAGCAGTAATAAAAAATAATTTTATAGTTTCTTACCGTCTCTTCGTTTGTACTATAAAGACGACGTGAAATATGTGAGCGAAAATACAAACATAAAATATTTCACAACCAAAGTAAGTTAAATTTTGAAGCACTGCTCGGCTTTCTTACAATTCAGTGGTATGTTCATAAGATCTGCAACAGTCTATTATCTATATAGTTGCACATGTTTTAGAAGTTCTATGTGTTATTTCAGAGGAATTCATGGCTACATCTTGCAGTATTATTCTTATCGTCATGATTCTTTGTGGCAGAGAATCGGGTAAGCGACTACGTTCTTACAGCCTGTGACTATTTGTAAAAATAAAATTTGTAGTAACAAACTGACAGAAAAATCAAAATCAGTGTAGTCATAGTTTGGACTCAAACTGTATAAATTTGAAACATGTCTGACTGTATAACAATATGAGGCAGTTCTATGGAAAATCTGCTATACTTTACGAAGGCTGATAGGAAATTTACATAGTATAAAGATCAAGACGTACCTTCTGTGTATAACAGTATCATTCGTCGCATTGTTTGTTCATCCTTTTCTCTTCACTCTGTTCTTCCTCAGTGCATGCTATATATCTATTGTTCTCTTCCAACTTATACAATCACTATCTCTTTATTTTTATGTGAATGTATCTCTCTCTCTCTCTCTCTTGTTGTTCATCGGGAGAGAGAGAAAGGAGGGGCAATTGAGCTAGAATTAAAGAGGAAGACGGACTGTATAGTTATATCGATAGTGTACATATCGTTGTTTTTGTTTAAAAGTAAATCAGCCTCACGGCTCCAAAATACATACTGAATATAGTCAAAACCGTTACACCCTCATCCACATATCAAAAATGCCGATTTTTGCGAGAAGACGTTGAATGCTAGAAAAACACATGATTTGATAAGTCTGCTCTTTCATGGCATTCCTGTTTTTGTCTTCAGAAAAACATGTTTTCAGGATTTTAAGCTTTCTGGAATTAGTCTAAGAATAAAATACGAACAAAAGTGATATATTTAGCAAAAGATGCCCACACAGGCAAGTACATACGCGATACATGCGTGCGCACATGTTTATGGGGTTCAACATGATAGGAGAGCTATAGAAAAATATATACAAATTGTTTTTACACTCAACTTCTCGAGGCATGTAGAAAAACGAGGAATTTGAGTTACTTCTTGTGTGAGATGTCCTAAAAGAAACCAAGCACTCAGGTAAACATGTATTATTTCATTCTGGATACTTCGAGGCTCGTTTGAAATGGACCAGTTCTCATTCTTGTTGGCAGCCTCTTCTTTCGATATTTTGCTGCCCAGTACTCGATATTCAAGACTGTTTGTCACATATTTCCGATAGCAACTCAATCCCAAAATGGGCTTTCATTGTTTTGGTTAATTACAACGCTCTCGAACTGATGAAAGTTTACGAAATAATGCTTACAGTTCGTATTTCATTACGGTTTACGTGACCTAAATCCGACCAGCGAACCCAAATCCGATAGGATCTCTAACAAAGACCTGATGAAAAGCATGTTTGTGGATAGATCATATATAGACAATTCTGAAGCATGTAGTGGTGGTCAGTTTTTGTTAAGGTCGCCCCAACCCCCTCCAAAATCGATTTTCGATACAGTGCATGGGACTGCCACGCAATTTTTCCACAATTGTTGGGAACATCAAAGTAAAGTTGTGAAAGTTTTTTTCGCCGCCAGACCTCAGCGTTCAAGAGTTTTCTAGAGACAAAGCCCCAAAATGGGCCCTCTACCTGTGCAAATTCTTTTTCACTATACTTCAAGGTACAGAACCCGGGATTGTTTTGTTCGAAGGAGAACTGCTTAGCCCTTCGGATGAGGGGAAGGAATTTTTTTATTCTTGCTTTCTTTAATTTTGGGGAGCGTCGAAACCTCTAAAACCTTAAAGTATCATCAGAGGTGTTCCAGACAGACGCGGCTTTCTACAGAACTAGAGCCTATTTAAAAAATTCCTTCCCCTTATCCGAAGGAGTATCGAGTGCCCCAATGAATAAAAGAAACCGCAGCTCTCTATAATGAACTATATTTGAAAAACATTTGCGCGAAGTTTGACCACTAGCACAAAAATCGACTTGGAGAAAAACGCTAACTCTTTCTACACAAAACACGCTGATTAGCGTTTTTGAATAACTCAAAGATGATAAAAAATAGAGATTTTCAGTTTTCAGCAATCGACAGAAAATAGTTTTGGCTATGCTTTCTTAAGCAAATTCTTTTTCGAAAAATATTCGGAAGATCGGTTTTCTAGGAGGTCTTTAGAAAATCAGTTGGATCTCTAGATATTGAGATAGCAATCTATCAGTTTTTCTCCATAGATATATAATCCCGAGTGTCCTCTGCAAAATGGGAGCCAAGCGGGCTCTTAATTTTCACTGGTTCAGGTGTGGCATCGCAGTTCCTGAAAGTTTCAGGGTCGATACTTCTTTAGGTGGGGTAATTCCGAAGACGAATGGAAACACAGGTAATCAACCACGCTGAAACGCGTGGCAACATTTATTTTTTAAATAAGTTCCAAAAACCTAGTAAAAACCTACATGAGGTGAAATAATCCATTTTTGCCTATTTCTGAGTAAAATTATAAAATTCATAACTCAGTCAAACTCCATCCAAATTAAATCAGAAAAAAACAATGGGGCGGGCGCCCTTAATTGAAGGTGCCTCTCTTTTCTAAAAACTGAAATTTTCACTTTTCTGAAAGCTCTTCGTTCAAACAAGGTACGGAGACGACGAAAATTATTTTCATTTATGTAGATCGAGAGATTCTGCTTAGTACGCGTCATCTTTACATTCGTTTTGCTTACTTTAGAAGTTAATTTTGAAATTACGTTCTGGATTTTAGTGGAAAATCTAAAACGACTATTGTCTGGAATTCATCTTGTCGATGTTTTTAAAAACTTTGAATGTGATATTTATTAATGTTAGGTCATGGTCTTTATGTTATGCAAATCTCAAACGATTCGCTGAAAGTCAGCGAAAAGTCGAACAGATTTTCCATTGCACGTTGTTTGAAAGAAAAACAAATAATATTTAATATTCATTGTTTCATTACCGTTTTAGATGGCCGGACGATTGTAAATGAATATGAACAATCACAAAATGTTTCTCGAGCAGGAGATCAGCGTACGAAGAACGATTGTTTTTAACAAAATCATCAGCCCATACAACAGTACAGTCTGGACCTATGCTGCCTTATGCATGCCAAAAACACTGTCTTTGTTTCAAGTCCATTCAGAGATACGAGATAGAAATGGACTGGACGTACACTGCTCAGTCTTCGTTTCCACGAGACACGAAGTTCGATAGCTGAGGTACCACATTACTGTTACCAGTAATACAAATATTGTATATTTTCCTATTACCGGTAACAGTAATACTAGAAGTATTACTATTCCTGGGAACAGAAATATGCATAAAATTAGTACTACTTTTCGGTAAGGTAATAATACAAGAAATCTCTTTTTCAAAAGAATATTCAAAAAATTTCGTAACATGTTCTTCGATGAATATTTCTACCAGAAAAATTTGAAAAATTAGACAAACATTTTCTCTTTTTATCCTGCTGAAATTTCTACCATCCTCTTCAAATTATGAGGCCTGCGGCTGTCTGTTGAATAACTGAAGAACGAAAGAGCTAGAGAATTCGAGTTTAGATCATCCAGAAGAAGCGACTTTGAGGCATCTTTTGTATAACAGACATTAATTCACAGCATTTTTTAAAGCAGGTTTCCAAGGAGAGCTAGATGGCGTGGGGTTCCAAGCAAGTCCGATACCACTGGAAATTTTGACCTAGCCCGACTCCCATTCTGAACAGGACACTTTGGGCTATCTATCCATGAAGACAAATGAAAAAGTTCGTGCTTGAAGTGTTCGAGAGCTATGAGCTGGTTTTCCAAAGATCTCCCTGGAAACCTGCTTTAAAAAAAGTTATGAATTAATGTGTGTTATACAAAAGATGCCTCAAAGTCACTTCTTCTGGATGATCAAAACTCGAATTCTCCAGCTCTATCGTTCTTCAGTTATTCAACAGACAGCCGCAGATCTCATAATTCGAAAAGGATGGTAGAAATTTAAGCTTTTATTTTCTTAACTTTTGAAAGAACTGATATCGATCGTCCTATAAGGGTTTTTATCAGCTCACTTTCCGCTATTAACTGTCATACTATCATTAAAAATGGAGTTGGACATCTGAAGACCTTGTCTCATTAGTGAATGCAGTTATTCTGAAATAGGTATTTCAACTGAAAATTCTAGTAGAGTTAAATTTTCAACGAGTAATACAAAATTGAAATCATTATCTATATTTTAAATTGCGTCGCAAAATGTTCAACACAAACCCGATCTGACAGCATCTTCATCCGAACCGATCCTAGGATCGGTCGGATTCGGGTCAGGTTGCAGGTCTCTACTTTTCACTCATGTTTGTATCATTTTTGTTTACCAAAAACTTTGTTCTAAAACTAGCGGAACTGGTGTAGCTCACAAAGACTAATGATTCAATTCGACAGCAACAACTTTGATTAAATACCATTGCTGTTGTTCTGTCGCCAGCGTTCTTTTATAAGCAAAAATTTTGTTTTTCTCACCATCCACTAGGGCTTGCGGATTCAGAGGTATATATTCCAATTTCCTGTAACGGACGAGTATCTGGGACAATATCAAATGGCACGACATGTGGACTGGAACAGATCATGATCGGACGGTGTTATGAGTACGAATACGTCAAACATAGTTTAGATCTAACAGATGGGATGTAAGTATGATAATTCATCATCGATGACCAACGACTTAACTTGCAAGCTTTTAGAGAGTGCTTGACGTTTAAAATTGCTTTTTCCTTTTCTTTCGTATCTCACATAGTGCGCTAATAAAAGCAGAATACTAAAGTAAAGACTGTGATTATTTAGGCCTGTAAAATATTGTGATAATTTATATGAAATATTCGTGAGTGCTGCTGGATTCAAACCAGTTTGCAAATTAGACATGTCAACATACGAAGCTTTTTTCCGACAGGCTCACCACGGAGCGCACATCATCAACAGAGTGAGTGACTAATAAAAAGAATAAAAAGAAAAACAAGGAAAAATCTTGTAGGCAATATTTTGGAGTGGAACATATGATGTTGCACATGGCTATGCAGCTCAAGGAAAACACTTTATAACATTGGAAGACACTCTGGGTGCTTATATGGCAAATGGATTAAAATGGTGTGGGAAGTTCCCGTCACGATCCCCCTTTGATTATGACAGTTGTCCTCAGAAATGCGATGACGATCAATGGTCTGACGCTGCCTTTTGGAGCACGGCATCAGCACAGGTATACAGGACTTTCTCCTCCAACTGAATTTAGTTGAGAAGAAAAGTACTGCGCAACAAGTAGAGTTTGTTTAAGAATATCTTTCTTCCAGAGTTGAGTTATTCCAAGCCAATGGACTCTAGCAAGACCCAGGTCTTTTCCATTTACAGTTTTAAACTTGCGAATAAACACATTTTTCTTTTCTTAAATGTCACCGGTTTCTCGCTTTTCTCGCTAGAATTTGATTCAATCGACAATTTTAACTTTGTCTCGGATCCGAAAGGGAACAAGTTGACTCACTCTGCTCCTAATGGAAAAGAGGTTTGTTTCGGGAACATAATATTTGGTCAGTAAAACAAATGAATGATCAGTAAAACAAATGAATGATCAGTAAAAAAATATATAAATGATCAGTATAAATATTGAATGGTCAGCACTAAAATGATCAGTAATTAATTGTAAAATGATCAGTTTATTATATATAATTAGCATTAAAAAAATACGAAGGAAACGAAAGAAAGAAGAAAAAAAGTGAATCACACTAATACATTTCAATTTCTATACCTACCCTGTAGTATAATCGACTGTTAATACATTTTATTTACTGATTTTTAACTTTATTAATAAACCTAATTAATTAATAGCTGACCATTTGAGTAGTTTACTAATCACTCATTTATTGAACTGATCAATCCTTTAATTTACTGAGTTTATAATTATTTTACCCACTGCTCATTTCATCTATTTTACTGACCACTTAAATGACAGCCATTTGCTTCCAGATGTTATTTTGCTTGTAAATCAGACGTAATTGTTTTCTTGACAATGTTGTTATGTGAGCTTCAGATACACCCTAGGAACCCCAGAATTGCGTATTTTTCTACAGCTTTTCAGAAATTGCTCTAAAAATTTCTTAACCGTTATTTCTATCATAACATCTATAGGAGCAGAAGACGGTCAGCAGAAGATTGGGCGTGTTTTCTAACCGTTCTTCCAACCAAGGAACGGATAGCCACTGGATCTATTCATATTTCACATAAAATATGATAAAGATCGTGAAACATGAACCCAAACGAACGATTGATTTTCTTCCTTTCTTTTCTTCTTATGAGAAATAACAGATAGTCAATTATTTGGTAAATAAAGTTTTTTATTACTAATTCACACTTTCCAAGTAAAATCATCAACGATTCGGGTCACTCTCTCAAATTTATCGAGTCCATGCCTCGACTACCAGTTCAAGTCTTTGAAAAATGTAACTCAGGTGTGACGCGAGCCACAACTAATTCATTTACCTTTGTTTTATAACCACATGTAGAGTGGTTAAAATTCGAGTACCTGCTATCGGCGTAAGGCTATAGGGTACAATTTTTTGCTTTTTTGTCAGACGTCTGAGCTGCCTACACATCACATTCCAAAGTAAAGTGCGTATCATGAATATATTCTCGAGTTCAATATTTTTAGTTCGCCGCACATGCAGCTGGTGAAATATTTGTTGTTTTGAATGGTACAAGAACAAGTGGAGCATTCACGAATACTTCATATTTTACATTATATGAACTGCCAAATTTGACACAGAGAGGTCCTTATCGCGTGACAAAAGTGAATGTATTATTACTACACGGGCCAGATCTTCCGATTTAGTACGTTACGTATATAAGAAAAGAACAATTTTATTTATATGTGTTTATTTGTTTGTATTTTAGTGAAAAATGCGGAGAAAAAAGTTTAATCACATTGGAAAAAGCTGTTATCAGCCTTGGATTTAAGTACACTTGTACCGATGATCCAGAGTATGTACAAACAATTGTTGTTACTTCGATAATCCGTATGATGAAACCAAATTTTTGTCTTTTTTAGTGAATTACTTCTTATTATGTGTGGACTTGATTGGCAAGCAAGAGAATGCCAAATCGCTCGAAAGGTCTTGCATGACGCATGGCAAAAAAAGTTAAATAGCATACCCCGATTATTAGATCAAGTCGGATAAATATCATAAATTTTGCATTAATTGAACAGTAATTTTTAGATTTCCATGGATTGTGTTATTCTTTAATGAGATCATATCAATATAAAGTTGTAAACTAAACTTCTAAGTGATTAATTAAAAATAGTTATCAGTTGAATAAACACGTAATATAACGTGTTATTATGAACTCATTTGGATGTCTTTGTTCGACTAAAGTCGAAATAAAATCTGGCGTTTCAGAGAGCCTAGTCAACAGAACATAATCGTTTTTAGCGTTCTCGCACAACAAATTCTACTTCTGCAAATAGAATTCTGATGTGTCTTCTGGCAGAACCTATTTAAGAGAAATGAAGAATCGCTCTAATAAAAATTTCTCGCAATAGGATGTTACATGTCAATTTTGATAGTTCTGTCTTCTTAATAGCATGGTGTTCGAGCAAGTGAAATCGCTATGGAGGGTATGCTTTCTTTTGGCTACCTCAGAAAGGCTTTAGAACTAAATCTGAGTTCACCGAGATGGACTGCATGTAAAAATCAGCAAAAGAGAGAGAAAACTTTTTTCTATCTTCATAAGGGAGACCTCGGACTTCACATCCCCACTTTTCTCTTCGAAACACGCTTTTTCGATAGAGCATAAGAGGCTGAGTATTTGGTATTTCCGATTTCGATTTTCGTTAGATTACAGCAGAGAAAATAGCGGGTTATGTCTGCATTTTTCGTCATTTAGACCTATATTCCAAATTTTTTGACCGCTCGAAGTAAACAATCAATGTTCTCGAAGACAAATTTCGAAAGAACAAACATCTTTACATATTTCTGATATACTTTTCTAGTCCTTTATCGCTTTTTGATGATATTCAACATCCTTTTGTTTAAATACTGCTGAAAGAGTGTAGTGCACAGTTTCAAAAAATTGCAGTACTTACAAATATCTTCTCTCTGAAAAAACTTTCTGTAGACTCGATTCCACTTTGTTGGTTAAAAAAATGGAGTTACTAATTCAGGTACGATTTATTGAAAACTGATACCTGTTTTAAAAATCATTCCATTTTTCCATTTTTCCATCAGATAACATTTCTTTCATTTTTTGATCGATTCCCCTTGAGATGAAGAACAAAAGTACGCTGAGCCTTTTTTCTTACAATGTTTCCTTTTCTCTAAACCTGAGACGAAAAGGTCAGAATTCTGCTCGTAATTCTCAATTCTCTTCAACTTTTATGTCATAAAAATATCACATTCGACTGAGTCGACTAATTTGTATTTCTATCCTATGTGACTAATCTAGTTTGGTTCGAGGTCCCCAGCAAAAAATGAAAATCAGGTAAAAACTTCGAAATACAGATTACGTTGGACTTTGATAAGAACTTTATCCTGGAAGAACAACGAAAAATAAGAGAAGATCTGGACAATTATATAATTAATGATGTAGCAGCTGTCTGATTCATTTATTTACAACCATAAAAACGGCGTGAACTGGATAAAGCATTGGTTATTGCAACAGTTACAATTATATCAAAAAGTCCAGGATTAGAATTACCGAAAAGAACGGGTTGGAAAATGGACATTGAGATAATTTCAAATTTATCATCATTTATCAAAAGATTTTAACTTTAACAGCAAAATCAGATTCTGGCATCTGCAATTGAAAATGAAAACAATACAAGGAATGATATGGAACAAGTGGATAATGATGATGAAAAAAGTGGCTAAGTCAATAACTCCGGGTGCTAAATAGCCGGGGGCTAAGAAGAGACAGAGACTCAGCTAAGCTTTTTAATCATTTTGTGTAAAAACTCTTTTCATTTATTGTTTTATATTTTATTTTTTCGATCTCAGTTTCTTCCTCCCTGTTCGCAAAACCTATGAGTCGAAGAGCGTGTTATGTTCACGTTATTCCATAATCTTGACATAAGGCTCTATTCTTTTTGTTTTAGTTAGTCTTTCTTTTCTGTCATACGCATATATCAACGTTCGAATTATTCACCTTTTTATTTTACAGCTACTGTATCCATATATGTAACACATATACGTCACAAATTTACAAAGTTTTTATTCATATCAAGTCAATATATTGAGCAATGATAGACCAATATATAGAGGAATATTGCTTTTTATAATGTTTCACAGAAAGCAGGACTGGGATGCAATGTAGACAGCATCCTTCACGCTGTCAATACATGAGTCAATATGTCTAATTTCATAGCTAGTGGCCCACGATATACTGGGTGATAATTGATCAATATATCAACTAAATGGCTACTCTGAACAGTGTTTTTCGTTCACCCGATACATCGGGTACATTATCTAGTCGCTAGCTATCATACTCGATGTAGCTAGCTAATTCAATAAAAGTTACATGTTTATAACTAGATAACATGTTTTTATAGCTAGATATTCTCGAAGGCATATTTTTGCTTGATGAAATTTATCGCTTTCACCCATTGCATTTGGGCCGTCCTCGATCTTTTCATTGAGGCTACTGAATTCCGAAACATTTTGTGTACGATGTCATTCCGATATCAAGAATCGAAAAATATATTCAGAATTTGCTTTTAGCGAAGATAATAATAATTATATTTGTTCAATTATTCTGACTGATGTTTATAGTCATTTACAAGATTATACCATAGCAAAATCGATATGAAAAAACTCTGAAATTATAGAGAATAAAAAGGATTTACTTCTACTGGCAGAAATTTATTTTACCATGGCTAATTATTACAATAATTTAAACCGTTCAACAGACAAGGCATTACACAGATTACATGAACTTGGAAAATGTCTTAAAACACAAGAACTGGGTAATAAAACAATTGCAATAAAGTTGCTTTTAATGATGAATTAGCTAGACATTATTTAAAATTTACTAAATTTGACAAAGTCTATTTAACATCAGTCAAGTATAGCCGTTGATTACATACTTATAGGAGATATCTATGTTGAAGAAACCTATTATAGGTATGCCATAGAATGCTACAAAAAGCTTTAGACATAGATTGAGACACTCAAATATTTTGAAATTATAAAAGGGGCTAGACATGCATAGTGCCAGAGCAATGTCATATAAAGAACACAGAGATATTTATGATGCGACCAGTGTAGACACAGCAGCAAAGATCTGGCGTAATCAAATACCGTGTAGATATCTCCTATAAGTATGTGATCAACGGCTATACTTGACTGATGTTAAATAGGCTTTGTCAAAGGAGGAGGGCCGATAAGCCGATCATCCCGACCAAACCAAATCATAATAAAACTTACATATTTGGAATCAGCATCGAATTCTGAGTATTTCTGCTGATTTACTTTTTCGAAAATGTCACTTTGAATTTTTTCGAAAA